GCCTTGGAGCACACCGAGGTGGGAGCCTGTTGGGAGCGCAGTGAGGGTCAGTCCGGCGAGCAGGGCAGACAGCAGGACACCTCGCTGAGCGCCTGGCCTGGGCCTGGCAGCATTTGGGCAGCTTGCTGCCAGCTTTTAGGACAGACCCTGGGCAGGAGCCAAGAGCTCACCACACTGTGGGTCTTACAGAGGTGGTGGGAAAATAAGACTGTTTAAAGGTAGAAGTGGGAGCCTTTTCGGTTCATGTGGCTGGCTTGTTTTTTGGAAGGATGAAAGCTGCTACTCAGAATGTGGATCACACCACACCCCGCCCCCCACCTCCGTCTGCCCTCATTTTTGCCCTGCTGTGGGGAAATACCCCAGAACTGGTGGTGTTGGGGGTGTAGCTGGTTTGGCGGCAAGCAATAAATAAGTTCTGGGTGCAGAACAGTACCTGTGGATCTTTTGTGTGCCACACAATTTTGCCCTGGTCAATGCTCAGCCTGTCGGGGTTCACACTGAAAGTTCCTATCAAGTCAAAAGCCCAGCTCGGGCCGCTCCAGTTCCACATGATGATGTCATAGCCTTTACAAATGTCCCCATTGGCATCAAAAGAGATGTGGCTCTTGTACAGGGTGAAGTTTACTTGCTTGATTTTTTGTAGAAGCTGTAAAACAGAAGAGTAAGAGAAGAGCCCTTCCCAATGATGAGACTCCCACTGAGGAGTGCCTTGTCTCGGGAGGGTGATGTGCTGGAGGGCCCCTTCTCTACTATGGCTCCTCTTTCCAACCACCCAACAGCTAGTGTATGCCCAGCCAGAGAACATCCTTTCCAGGTTTCTGTGAGGGGCTAACAGTGGAGGAACAGGCTAACAGTGGAGGAACAGCAGTGATCTAGGGAGGAGCTCTGGGTCTAGGTCCAGGCTGCTTTGACTGTGATGGGCGGCTGAAGCCTATGAGGCTCTTCAGCTGGAACGTGAGCCTTTCAGAGGGCCAGAAAACCCCTGGACATGAGAGGAAAATCCTTCCCTGTGAGGAGGGATCCTCACGGATCCTTTCCCACAAGGGGGATCCTTCCTGTTGTTCTTACCTGCCAGGGATAGACTGTGCCTTTGCTGCACGCCCCCGAGGCGCAGCCGAGCAGGTCGTGGAGGCCGTGAGCCACAGCATACACGGCTGAGTACACGCTGAAGGAGGCTCGAGCATCATACATGTCAGGGGCAGTGGTGAGCGAGCAGCAGCCAGCGCAGCACTGGGTGCTCCCTCCAATTCTCCCTCCTGCCTCCATGCTGCCCGCACATTCAGCCACAGCACTTTCCTCTGCTGTCTTCCAAGAATCAAAGCGTTCCAGCATCATGGACTCTGTCTTCTCAACCGACATCCCAATCACCGAGCCAATACTCTGGATGCCAGGCACCTGCCAGATTGCTTGGGCTAACGACCAATCTTCAGAGCCCACCCACACCATGCCTGTGACATTCCTCTGGACCACCACCTCAAAGAAAGGGCGTGCGCTTTGGCTGTCAGAGAATACAACAGTGACGTTGACCCTGACATCTGTGAGGATTCTGACCAGGTTGTGGAGCTCCGGGCTGCTGGCATCCTTGTTGACAGGGATGATGCCTCGGTAGGCAACGCACACATCGCTTGCGGTCAGCAGCTTGTAGAGGGCATCCAAGCTGTCCCTGCCGTAGGCGTTGTCGCTGCCCAGCAGCGTGACCCAAGTCCACTCAAACTGCTGCAGCAGCAGGAAGATGGCCTTCACTTGCTGCCTGTCGCTGGGAATGGTGCGCAGGAACGAGGGGTAGAACCGCTTCAGGCTCAGCATCTCCAAGGAGGCTTCATAGCTAATCTGCAAAGGGAGCCAGGAGAAAGGAGGTTGCACTCCCCCAGGTGGTGGCACCCTAAGGGCTTACGGCACAGGCAGCCCGTCTCCGTGAAGAGACCTGGCGCTGGGCAGGCAGCGGACCCAGAGCCAAATGCGCTGCCATGAGAGAAACCTCTGAAAGACAGGAAGCCAGCCACGATTCCTGCCTGCGAGCTGACCGTGCCTGGGAAGAGACACAACACTGCAAAGGGGCTGTGTTTCTGGCTCAGCCTGGCTCCTCAGCTCCAAGCCCATCCTCCCTCAAACCATTACTCCTCAGGGTTCCTTTTCTTCATCTGCCAGGGGAGCCACACTTACCTGTGGCACGAGGAAGACGCCAAGGACAGCTGCTGTGGTAAGGGCCAGCTGGGTGCTGTCAGGTCCAATGATGGCCACCGCCTCGGGCTCATAGTGGTGGAAGGTGGGGAGCACCTCAACCTCCCGCCCGCCTTTCCGGGCGAGGGCATGCAGTGTGGCATGGAGATTGGCGGGCTCTGACCAGGTGTCGTGGATGTCGTAGCCCAAGGTGACATTGGGGAGGAGGGTGCTGGAGTTGTTTATCTCCTCCACGGCGAAGCGCATGGCCTGGGACAGGCAGTAG